TTCTTTGCACTGAATCACTGTTTTTGTGCTGATGTGCTTCTCTTTACTCAAACTCAAGGTATGGAAACTGTTAAAGTGTCCTTAAGGTCTGCCTTGATGTCAAGGGTGGAAATGGTCCGTCAGTTACGACCTGTAGAGAATCAGAACTAAAAATTCCCAGACAAAACGACCACTTCAGGTCAAACCCACACCGTTCGCACCCCTTTAAACGTCACCAAGGTGCAGAATTCATTAGATGGGCCCAATGAGACTTTTGTCCGTAGACGATGTCTGTAGCAATAACTTTCCTACTTGTCAACGGTCCGCACTCTCAAGGCAGTTCTTCATTTACAACTGTACCATTTTCCCGTTTGCGAAGCTATCGGAGGATAACAATGAGTTCATGATTCCTCGATCGTCTTGAAAAACGTGAACATTTCCTCTAGGACATTTTGTTCCTTGGCAAAGCTCATATTTTCAGCCTTCAGCTTATATATATCAACACCACAAATACCGTCTATTTTGGCAACCTCAACCCCCCCCTCCTATTGTCTCTAGAAACAGCCCCATACTGTAAGGTGTACAGTGTGTGTGGCTTTGAGCCCTGATAGTTGAGTGGATCCTTGTGTTTGGCCACCAGTGAACAGTACGAACGACGCGCTAAAATGTGTCGAGTCCAAAGGAGGACATATTTATAGACCATTGTTTTTCAAATTTTGGGATTCCCGAATTAAATTTATTTTTAAACTTTGTAGGAGTAGGAGAAAAGAAATATTGTTTAAAGGTTACAGGGAAGGAAAGATTAAATTCTAAAAATAAAAGGAAAGGAAAAAATGCTCAATCATTTTATGACTTTCCTTACAAGATCTTCTAAATTGGTGCATTTTGCATTTTTAGGTGTTTTTTTATAGGCTACATGCAAACGCCATTTCAATTTTCGAAAATAAGTTTCTTCTTTGTGAATTTTATGTCAAACAAATTCCTTTTGTCATTCCAAATTACAACATTCTAGTACATGTACAAATTTTGTGCGAAATGTGTAGAAAAAAAGTTGTGCAGTTGTAGTTGTTTTTTTGGATCGCCCTGTATTTTTGTGACTGACTGACAAAATGTAATGTGTTCGACACATTCAAAATACTGGTTAATTGATAAAACGGAAAATTTGAGATACTGAAGAAAATTAAGGCTAGTACAAAATATGTAGTATGACGATACAATGGTTGGAAAATAAATCACTTGCGCATTTACTGTAACTGTTTCACCGCACACGGTTTTTTAAGTAAATTGTCTATTTTTCTGAACCTATGCAACCATCGTGTGTTGTGTGTGAACTCAAGGCAAGGAAGGCTCTTTACGATTACGTCAGCTTTTATTTCATCAGAATAGGACCCGAGATTAAGACAGACATGGCACCTGCTTGCTGAAGCCTTTGGAATAATACAATAATACCGGCTCCATGTTCTCCGTGTTCCCGATGTCCCTGGGCCTACAGGATCCGCAAACCTGCACTGCATAGGATTTTAGATACATGTAATATAATTAATATGAGCGCACTCACACTCACACACACACACACACACACACACACACACACACACACCGCGCACGCACATAAATCAATTAATATTAGATCTGTGTATTTTATGTTTTTCTTTTTTCCACATCTAGAATTTGAATTTCGATGAAACATTTAACTTGGTGACATGCAAACTAGACAACAGACTAAGAAACTGCTTTTGTAAAAATTCCAAACTGTGGGCTTGGTATATTCTAACAACGTCCGACGTTAATTAAGCTGGTGTCAAGGAGGAGGAACACAAACAAGAAACATAGTTGGTTTAATAATAGTAATAGCAAATCATCTTGTTGGTTTCTCTTCTTTTCAATACATAATGCATTATGTATAGTAGGCTAATCAACGGATGAATAAATATACAAACAAAACAACAACAAACAAAACCAGCAATTACACAAAAATCCAACAACATCTAAGCTGCCATTGTATTCGAAAATAGTTTTAGTAGTTTGTTTAATTGACGAATGTTTGTTTTAAAGAATTTCCTCTGAGGTCCCCAGGGTTCAGGATCACAGAATGTTGCTTTTATTTGATACATGCACCCGAATATCCGAACAGTTTCTAGTGGCTCCGCAGTGAAGTAACGCAGGCATTCCTCAGTACTAAGAACTATTGTAACGAAAGAGATTTCTCTCATTTATTCCTCGTTATGGTAACAATGGTCAGTTTTTGTTTTTCTTTGCAAACAAACTTGTGAAGACGGCCCTATACTTTGAGCTCATGGTGTAGTAGACGCAAATGTTGACAGAACAGTTGGTGGCCTCGAGAGTGTTGAGCATGGACCACGATACCTGGAACATGTTCCGGTACTTTCCCACAATGCTGTAGTCATCCGAGGAGATCATGAGAATGAGATTCACAGCGCTGGGCAGAAAACAAGCAATGAAAATACACGATATTAATGTCACCAATTTTACCACTCGTTTTTCTTTCGAAGACATTCCACTTTCTCCGGATCCTGAAGCAGCACTTCTTGCAGTCGCCGCAGACGACTGAGTCGACTTGCGCCATTTTGATTTCAGAACGAGGTTGTGAATAAGAACGCAAGTGCAGATGATCACGAACAAAACTGAGCTGAGTTGAGCGAACACGTTGATGGAGAAGGAGACGTTCTCAATGTCTGCACCGTCCGGTTTGTAGACCAAACCCAGCAGGGTTTCGTTTCTACCGGGAAAAAACTTTGGCCCTATGTTGATGGCGTAGTAGACAGGGGAGACGCTGGCGAACATGGTGAGGAAAATGCCGGCATTGATGTAGAGCGTCCTTTTAGAAGTTATGATGAGCTTGACCTTCAGGGGCACAGAGATGCAGAGACAACGCTCGAACGTGATAAAGGCGGTGATCCAACTCGTAATGCGAGCGAAACAGACATGTGGCCAACCTGTGGGAACCAATGAATATATAACATGCACGTTCATGTACATGCCGGTGGTTAAAAGGCGCTCTGGTGCGGTTTATTCTTTCTTTCTTATCAAACATAATTTATGCAGTGGGTGTCGCATTCAACGAGGTTGCCGGGACCGGCTTGTTGTCCTCGTTGGATCCGACCTCTCGTTGAACGTGACTAAGGCTAAAGTAAAGAAAGGAGACAAGTTATTATATTATAGGATGTACCAATACCAGTACGGTAATTAAAACAGTTGTTCCTCTTGATGACGAAAATCTCAAACAGCATCAGTGTACTGTACGCGTGTTTGAGCTGTGTTCTGACGATCATTTCTGCATTTTTAATTCCCAGCCCCTTCCCCCCCCCCTCAACACTTCTCGTGTGGAAACATACCCTCTCACATCTAGGCCCAGATTTACAAAAACTGAAGGCGGGAGCTTGGATTTTCTGATCAGGGGAAGAAAAGAAAATTGAAGGTCTCGATCTAGACCTACCCACCTAGAGTTCATCAAGTTTCACACAGTCTGCATCGCGTTCCCAACCACCCCCTCCCATCCCTACCGTAGGCGAACCCTCGCCCATCATCTTGGCTTAGGGGCCCATATTACGAAACACATTAGTTAGATCTAGCAATACACTGTGTTAGGAATCGAGGATGGGCCTTGTGCTTCGCGTGAGATGGAGAGAAAGGAGAAAAATTCTTCGCGTTTGGGGCCACTAATTGCTTTTATTTTTTATTATCGCGATCTCGTTGAAAGCGACTTCGATCTGTTTGCAACCTCGTTGGAACCGACGTACATTTACAAAGAGATATATATAGAGAGGAAACATCGGGGATTAAGGATGATCTCGTTGGAGCCGACTTCTCGTTGAATGTGACCTAGGCTATGGGCTACTGGGAGCGAACCTCCCTCCCCCCCCCCCCTGGGGATTTTTGGCCACCATTATTTTCTGAAAGGGGAGGACCTAGGGACTTCCCCAAAAAAAAGTTTGCACCAAAATGTTGGCAATCTACAGAGTTACGGCCCTTGATTGTACAGAAATTAAGAAAATACTTGATTTTTATGTTGGGGTTCTCCGTGAAACCAAAAATGTGTACGTGTACTTTCATATGATGTAAAACTCAAATATTACAAGATGATGTAAGTGTTGTAAAAATTGTTTTTGCTAATTACTTACAAGATGCAAAGAGGAAAAAAGAAAATTCAAAGGCTGATTTCTCAAAATCAATAGAAATGATTAATTCCATTGCTTCAGATCTCCTATAACCCGGTACGATAGTTTTCTGATAGGTACACACTTTGACTCAAAGTTTGAGGCACAAAATGAGAAGGAGTTTGTTATCAAGGTAGGTTCCACCTTAGAATTGATAAAACACGGGTATAACCGTTTTTCTTTAACCCACAACACCAACTTTAGTCTCAATTAAAAGAAAATCAGAATACCAACTAAAAAAGTGAGTAAAAAAAAAAAGTCAATTTGCTCAATTTTCGACAATTCAGGGGCAATAACTCCGCAGATTGCCAACATTTTGGTGCAAACTTTTTTTGTGTATAGTCCTGAGTGTGCTCTTTCAGAAAATCATAGTGAGCAAAAATCCCCCCGGGGGGGGGGGGGGGGGTTCCAGTAGCTCACAATCTAACCTCGGTGAATGCAGCACCCACTGTATATGTTTATCGTTCTTATCTTTCATTCTTCTTTATTGTGTGAGTAGAAAGTTACTCAGCTGTACAGTGGTCTCCGTCTAAATGCGCGCCGTGCAAAAGCACGCTCCGCTCACAAGCACCCTTTCGTCATCTGACAGGATTTTTTTTTTCTGCATGTACACGTACAGGGTGATATAAAAAAACAAACCTGTACACACTTTTTTTCTGAATATCTCGCACAAAAAATGTCCTAGAATGCTGTAATTTGGAACAGACATAATTGATTCAAAAGGAATTCGTTTGGCATAAAATCCACGAAGAAGAAACTTATTTTGATAACGTAAATGGCTTTTTAAAAAAAGCACCCAAAAACGCAAAGTTCACCAATTTTTAAACATTTTGTAAAGGAAGTCGAGAAAAGATTGGTTGATCGTTTTCTTTATTTTCTCTTTAACATTTATTTGTCCTTCCCTGTGACATTTAAACAATATTTAATTTCTTTTACAGAGTAAAAAAAAACTAATGATTTCATTCTGAAATTCCTAGCAGCAGTGCTCTACGGGCCCTCCGTTGGACTCAACACATTTTTACTTGTCGTTCGAAATGTTCAATGGCGCCCAAATACAAGGACCTGATAAATCATGAGTGTTTAAAGCCACATTCACTGTATCATGGTATGTATTCAGTATGACGTGGCTTCTAGAGACAATAGAAAGTGGGGTGCCCAATAGACAGTATTTTTGGAGTTAACATTTAACATATCCCGCATGATGAAAATGGGATTTGCACTAAACCAAATGTCATCGAGGAAATTATCCCACTTTTCAAGACAATCGAGGCAAATCATGAACACATAGCCATGCTCTGATCCGTGTCATCTCGGCCTAGCGAAGATGAAAATGGTACAGTAAACTTGTAGGTTAAGATCTGCCATGAGACTGCAGAGTGTTGAGGTGTAGGAAAGTCTTACTGCAGATTGTCTACGGACAGACGTCTCGTGGGACTCGACTGCTGAAATCTGTACCCTGGTGACATTTAATTTGAAGGGATGTGCTTGGTGCGTGTTAGACCTGAAGTGGTCAGTTTTTTAGGAAATTTTTAGTTCTGATTTGCTATAGATCCAAACTGACAGAAATTCTGTTCTCTTGACGTCAAAGGGCTTTAGGGCACCTAAGCATTTTCTCCATCCCGTGCGCAGAACTTACGAAATGTCAAGGATGGTTAGTTTGTGAGAGGTAATGTTCAATACAAAAAGCTCTCTTTTCTTTACTAAACGTAGCCATGATCTCAGTGCAGACTTCTGTAGACTTGTTAGACTGTTATAGCTTGCAATATGGCGCCATTGTTGAAACTTTTAGTGGTAGGCCTAATTATACGAACTGGTGCGTCATGCTATGAAAATGGCCACAATGTTGAAAATATTATTTTCTTAATGCGCCTTATAGAGCAAAACCATTCAGTGGACTTATCTAAAATGAATATCAGACAAATTCCTTGTGGCTTCCAAATGTTATGTTCAAATCTGAAACACAAAACTTCAGTGTATGGAGGAAGATATTTACAAAACAAGTTGTACAGTTTTTTTGTTTTTTTGTGGATCGCCCGTGTATATAAATACAAACGCACGATCACTCCCTTAAAGGGGGTGCCCATAGGCGCGACCGGGTCGGGTCGGTTCGTTTTCTTGTTGTTTCAGTGCACACTGAAGTAGAGAAACCTTTAACATCAATTGCTTCCAGGGCTCCTTTCTGTAGTTCTCTGTTGCAGTGCTACGGCAGACTGGAACCCCGTAAACATGGGTTACATCGATAACGTTCCATTATCTTCTCTGAATCGATGGACTACATTGTTGTCATTGATGGTATTTCGCACAGAAATGCCCGACCTTGACACCGCAGTATCAACATGGACACGTGACTCCCTCTGCCTTGTTGTGAAACACCAAACCAATGTGCCAGGATCTGGACAATAAAGATGTATCTTTATCTTATCTTATCTTATTGGTTAGTGCCATGATGGCCGCTTTGCGCCCTCGATTTGACTAGCCCCGACTACCAAATTGATCCTACCCACAGAATTCTAGTGTAGAATTCTGTGACCCTACCCTATCGCGTCTAGTGTGCACCCCCTACGCACGTTCCGATCCGCGAAACATGCCGACAGGTAAAGCTTGACAAGAGGAAATTTTCACCAGTACAACCTGCACAACTTGCATGAGACTAGCCTAGAAAACCGAATGTTTGGTGAGACTGCCCCTCACGCCGAACAAAGAGAGTGATGGACAGCGTTTTCAAACCCAATTCTCCACAGACACATAGGTCTTGGACTGGTTGTTGAAAAGTTGGGGGGGGGGGGATTTTTTTTATATTGGTCACTGAAAATGCATCTTTGAGGGAGGGTTTCTGGCTGGTGTTTGGCGTTTAGTAGACTGCATGTAATGTTTAGTTAGACCTAGGCCTATGATGCGCAACACGCGTGAGTGCTGTTTAACACTAGATAGGCCTCTATAGGATTAAAGATTAGTCAAGTAAGCCTAATCATCTGCACTCGAAGAACTTATTCAACGAATCTCCAGAGAAAAGTTTCTTTGAAGGTAGAGATCTATGATTCTGATGTCGTCCATGAATTTACGGTCGGGTTGGTCGCTTATAACGTATACATGTATAGGAAAGCCACGTGGATGGGCCGACGTCTCTTTAACTATCACCAACAGTTACTTCTTGTGGTCCCTACTTCTTAAGCTCTCTGTTCCCGACATTTTAAGGTACATATCGTTACATTGAGTTTGTCTTTCAATTACTTTCAGTTGATGTTAAATGCACCGATCATTCTTTTCATCGAAAGGGGGCCCAGCTAGTTAAATATGACACAAAACAATACATGTAATGCGCTTTGTTTTAAAATAAAAACTCTTCTGTTTTGGATGAAGTGGAAACGCAATTTTGTTTCGCATATGATTGTTCCACGTGCTAAAAACCGAATAAAAATTTCAGAAAAGGGACAGTCGAGCATCCGTGTTTGTGGCCAGTTAAAGTGTGCCGCTGGTTGGGTCCTCATCCTCATACTCTTCCCTTCTTAAGTTCTTTCCTTCTGTTGTTTCTGTCCTTTTCTTTACTGAACAACGATATCATTCTTACCGGGTTATAGTAGTAGACTTTGTTATAGCACCCTCCTCACCCACCCCCAGGGAGAGAGAGAGAGAGAGAGAGAGAGAGAGAGAGAGAGAGAGAGAGAGAGAGTGAGTGAGAGAGAGAGGAGAGAGAGGGGGGGAGAGCGCGAGTGAGCGAGAGCGAGCGAACGAGTGAGTGAGTGAGAGAGAGAGAGTGAGAGAGAGAGTGAGTGAGAGAGAGAGAGAGAGAGAGGGGGGGGGAGGGGAGAGACAGACAGACAGACAGACAGAAAGACAGACAGACAGACAAACTAACCTGTGCAGCTGGAACGCCGAAAATCGTAACAAAACGAAACGAAACTTACCTGCAGTTAAATATTGTACGTCTCTGGACTCAAAGGGGATGTCCGCTTTATGGAAGTAGGGATTGAAACAGACGCCTTGCCACACCAGCGTGACCAGAGAACCAACGTCAGAGATTGCCAGAGCCAGGAAACTGATGTTGACGGAGTCGGAGAAGCCCTATGTGACAGGTCAATGAAGTCATTCGAAGCGAAAGTTTGAGATTTACTCAGTAGAGAGAAAGTTTTGTGCATAGTCTTATTGTGGGTGGTTTATCTACCGTCAAAGAATAACCAACCGGGTGGTTTTTAACAACAGATGAACAAAAGCATAGAAACAAAACAAAAATTACACAAATGTGTGCATGGTTAATGAAAAAGAAACAACAGGCATGAATCAAAATAGTCTGAGGATGGATACATTATTGCAGACACATATATATATATATATATATATATATATATATAATATATTAAAAAAATCATTTTTAATAATGGTCTATGTATACGCGTAGTAAGAAAACATTAGTAGTAATAAGCCTGTTTAAAAGACTAGTGATATAATATGTTACGATGGAATATACTTGAGCCTATATTCACGAGGTAAGCTAAAATGAAGGGAAAAGAAAAAAAAACTTGAAACAAACTATGTTATTGCATTAGTCAGTCACTCACCTGCTTACAGAAGACGACAATGTTGATGATATTGGCAATGGTTCCCAAGAAGCTAATGGATCCAGTAAACCCAGTGAAGAAGATGACCTCCAGCAGATATCTTGTCTGATCATTTATCAAACCAGAGAACTCAACATCTCCCTCTGTTGTACTGTTTGTGACAATGTCCTTGTGTTTCATCGTGCCCAGAGAGCCGATTAGAAACCCATATATGTGATAATATAGGCCTATCTCTGAGGTAAGTTCATAGAAGTGTCCTGAGTTTCTTTGACACGTTGCTCGAGGGCGCGTTAGAGATGGGCTATGTCTCCTGCTTACGTTAGTTTAATGCGAAGACAACTGAAAGTGGAAGTATAAAAAGGACATAAAGCAGCGATGACATAGGGGCAGCTTCTCTTCCTTTTGACTAAGACCAAAGCGTAGGTGTATCTGTTCCCGACTATTCGGCCTTGTGGCGAGATGTTGAAAGCGTGACAGTTGCTACTTAAAGCTAATGAAGTTTCGTACTTAATTATATTTAGTGAGTGGCAACGTCCTCTTTAAGATAAAAAAGGGAGTAGGCCTATCTCCAGTGGTGATGGCAGTGACAGCAATAAGAGAAACACCAGCAGAGCAACAGCAACAGCAACAGCAATACTAGATAGAGCAATGGTGACAGCAACAGATAATCACCCATAACCCTACAAGAAAAGCAATTCCTTTCCCCAGATTTAAAAACAAAACTACACCCCCCTCCTCCCAAAAAACAACAAATCAAAACAACAACGACGACAAAAACAACCATCCTCTCCCTAAATAACAAACAACGAAAACAAGAATAAAACAGCAGCAGCAAGAGAACAGTATGAATGTCATTGTAGGGCCTACCGAATAGAATAGGACGGAAAGTGCTTTAATTAACAAACAAAATGCATAAATATACGGACGAATGCGTATATGAAAGTAAAGTACACATGTATCAGGACCAGGTTGTCATTGCTTCGAGAAAAGTTTCAAAATGAAACGGCTGTTTTCTTTGTGTAGGCTAAGTGCAATACCATTTATTTTATAACTTTATTCTTATCACATTGCAAGGATAGAGTAGAGACGAATAATACATCCTACATGTAGTATGTAGATTAATAAAACCCGCAGGCACGTAACTTCCCCAGCCGGTGCGTAAGGGGGAAAAAGAGGGGTTGGGTGGGGTGAAGTTTGGGGGTTATTCAAACTGTCACAGCTTATCTTATATTCCAACAAATAAGTGTTAACGATGCACCAGTCAAATTATGATTGGGATGTGAAATCTACTTTGAGGGTGCGCTTCAAATTTAATTTTTATTTACCTTCCTAATTAAAAACCAACCCCCTCCCTACCACCCCACCCCGAAGATTCTACCATCACCACCGCACACAGTGCATTGACACAACCGATTGTTTTTTTACTGGCAGGCACTGGGGTGGAGCGTGAATATAGACCACCACAAGGGTGGGTGGGAAATGTAGGGTTGAATCAAATGGTCGGTACTATGAACGATGAAGTCCTCTTAATCCGAGATCTGAGGAACCGGATTTTCTTCGGTAAGGTCGGGTCTTTCGGTTTTGACAGGATGCTCAAAAAGGCACCTTAAAAATAATTTTAAGAAATTAAAATCTAATAATAAAACAACCGAGAATTCATCTTCTTTTGGCTTACCGTTGTTTACGGATTCAGCGTGTTTGCTTTAAACGAACTCTACTGTACTGTGATTGGCCAAACATATGACCAAGAATCAACAGAGAAATACTAGGTCCTTCCTGTCACAGCTGCAGCTCAGAATCTACAGACAACCGTGCTCATAGCACTCGTGTCAAGCGAGAGGTCGGGCGCAATAGGACCTTAGAATAAAAGACATTAGTCATATTATAACCCCCTTGGACGGGCCTGGGGACATGGCAGAGATCTGGTTTGTGCATTAGTAAGATTCTTCCTGAGGGAAATTCGCCACCTACGAGTTGGTTGAAGAGAAACTCAGAGATAGAGCGCACTGTCAATTTAATTTAGAGAGTCGGGTCGGTGTTGACCATTTTCTTTCACGGAGGGGAAAATGCTACAATGTCTCCACGTTTTGCAGGCTACATACTTGTACTAATATCATGTTATTCTTCCTCTATCAATCTCTCTTATCCTTGCCACTCACACCCGATAGGGCAGTACTCACTGAGAACTCAGTAGATCTAATCGTCTTCTTTTTTTTTTCTTTAGCTCCCAGAACCGTTGATTCTTTCCTTATTAAAAAAAGAATAAAAGCTTTGAGAAAGAAAATGAACGAAATATATTTCCACAGAGTAAATTGTATCCAATGTGAACGACATCATTCCAATTTCCCCTTTAAACACTAAACACGAGTTTATTAATATCAATAGGTTCAATTTACTGGGGGGGGGGGGGGGGGGGGAGTGTATTCATGATCATGCGCGCGTAAAACGGTAGAGCTCTTGGCGACCTGAAAACCTACTTTAATACCGAATAAATGGTTATGTCGTTTTGTAGGTTTGAAGATCAAATATTTTAAGAGTTATAATTCCCCAGTGCACCATTAACAAGTTGCTGGATTCAGTCTAAACGTTTAATGATTTTAGTAATAACGTTCATGCAAACATCAGGACTATTAGAGGTGTGAAACTATCTTAATACTGTTTTCTTTTTTCTCCAAAATTGTGATATATTTGGTCAAACTTTAGTGTAATAAGTCATGTCTAGAGAGGTCGATCTAATTTGCCCAGGAGTAAGCGAGCAATTATATTCACCGCCCTTTAATTCCTTCCCGCAAATACTGCCTTAACTTGTTTATAATTCATAAGCTTCAGATTACCCTATTAGTATTAGGCAAAGCCACTTCTCTAGTGCAAACCGTAAACGAAAAAATTCCTGCCGATTAGTATAACAACTTGATTTGCTGTCTTTTCGTACATAAAAGCTATAGACATTACGTCTTTGCGACTGAGAGACCGTTTCATTTTGCGCAAGTTACAGAGACAAGTTTTGCAAAGTATTTCTTTCAGCAAATCTGTAGCCTACATGTAATTACCTCCTGCAATTTTCGCCTCATCTTCTTTTCTGGCGTTTATGATTGCTGGATTGGAAAAGCCGATCTTTTCTGGCATTGGATGCTTGCGTAAAAAGTTCTTAGATGTAAAATTATTTACTTTAAAACGTCCACATACTTTCGTCTGTTAAACTGCTTGCACTCAATTCATTTGTTTTTCTATTTTTTTTCTTTCTACTGAGATTGGGGAGGTTTAAAGGTAACCGTCTTTATTCAAGGTCTTGGATAAAGATTTGTTCGTAATAATATTATTATCATTTAGGGTAAAAGTCAAGTTGAGGTCTCCATTTGGAACTTATTTTACCTGAAATTTCTGTGTTTTTGTGTTGTTGTTGTTCTTGTTGTTGTTTTTGTTGTTCTTTTCTTCTTCTTCTTCTTCTTCTTCTTCTTCTTCTTCTTCTTCTTCTTCTTCTTCTTCTTCTTCTTCTTCTCCTCCTCCTCCTCCTCCTCCTCCTCCTCCTCCTCCTCCTCCTCCTCCTCCTCCTCCTCCTCTTCCTCCTCCTCCTCCTCCTCCTCCTTCTTCTTCTTCTTCTTCTCCTCCTCCTCCTCCTCCTCCTCCTCCTCCTCCTCCTCCTCCTCCTCCTCCTCCTCCTCCTCCTTCTTCTTCTTCTTCTTCTTCTTCTTCTTCTTCCTTCTTCTTCTCTGGTCTCTGGTGATGTCAATTCCTTCTCTTGACTATGTTATTTGTTCTCATCTTCAAGCCATTATTTCCAACACGCTTTGTCTAATTTAGTGGCGCTTTTGGAGGCTGGACTGACCGTGGTGTACTCTCGAACAGAGCTGGTTGTAACGGAGCACAAATATTCCGGTACTTGTATTAGGTTACAAATTTCGGTACTTTTACTGTACGCCGGTATACTTTTGAGAACCAGTATTTTTACTCTACTTCGATACTTATTATAAATGTACTTTTGAGTATTTTAAAAGTACATTTTGAGTACTTTTGTGAAGATTAATGAAAGAGTAAGTGCCGGCATTTCTGATCATAATTTACGGAACAAACTCCGGGGCGGGCACAGCCGATCAACCAAGAGTTAAAACTTGAGATCAAAGAACGGCCCGTCGAGATTATAAATATCAGCCACTCTCGTGAATGTGATCACACCAATCCAAGGAGTTTACAGTAGTTCTAAGCTCCTTGCATCTATCACACCAGCGTTGTAAAACTCCATGAAACGGTACAATGTTTGCCCCACACGGGATCACACCGAGGTGTGAACTGACAGATGCGTTTCTTTTCCCCAAACATCGCACTCGCATCTGAGCTCGCCACCTAAACTTACTTCACTGATCACTCGCTGGGAGGGTAGGGCCTACAAGTTCGCACCAGGCAGGATCACATCAAACTGTGAACGCTTCCCTGGCCATTGAAGGCAGTTTTTCTCTATTCCCGAATTTGGGAGATGGCCTGAATTTTAATCGGTGTGGTCACAACGTAATGGTATATAGCGACAAAGGTGGGAGGACTCAATCAGAGATGGAAGGCTAACATTTTTGGACAGGTAAATGGGAGGGGCTAATTATATATAAGCCTATGGGGAGGGGCAACTGGATAAACGTAGAGAAAAAGATCTGGAGACTCACGATAGGCTAATGAGTGTATGGCATGCCTCATGCCACTTTGATCGGTCATCAACGTTGACCACTCTTTGCTCGCCATATGTCATAAACCCATCCAGGGGTCACGTCAGTTCATGGGTCACAGTAGATTATTCCTTGGCTTCGTCGGCTAAGATCCCGTATTTCCCTTGCTTCCGAGCACTGGGATCTTATTCTTAGATGGAGACTACTGTAGTGGAGAATCTTTGGTTACACTACACTTACTAGACTTGGAAACTACATGTATTTTGGTTTACCGTGGGCGCCGTGGACTACACAGTGTGACCAAAATCTGTCTTACCACTATTATAATCAATTGAAACTGAAACTTAGTTCTCAATATCTAACAATTTTATAGGCTACCTAAATGTCTTTTAAAAAACTTTTTTGGGTGGTTTTTGCTTAAGGCTACATTGATTCCGGGAGGATTTATTAATGAAGAATTCATAGCACTTTTCCGTGTCTTTGCTGGCCATTTTTATCAATTTTATGTTTTTTTAAGAGCAACTTTGTCTCTACATTTTTCAATTTGGATACTTTTTCTGTAGAACTGTCCGACCTCTTGGACTGACTTATATTTGATCACATTGTCTTGCTCGAACAAGTTCTATTCATAATATCACATACTCGCTAATTGCGTCTGTTTGTTTGGGTTTTTTGGGGTTTTTTTTCAATTTCACGGACCATTTCCACCTATACGTTCAGTGCATATTATATTCAAATGCTTTGTATACTGTTTACATTTTTAGTAATAAATGACCCAATTTGTCAAATATACTAGATATGTTATTCAATATGATGTTTTGCATTAGCATGATTAGCCTTAGAGCTGAAATGTTTTAGGATATTAGCAAAAAGTACTCAAAATATACTTCTAAGTACTATTTTGAAAAGTACTTGTACTCAAGTACATTTTACAGGAAAATGCTTTTACTGTACTTAAGTACATATTTTAGCTTGTACATAAATTTGTACTTAAGTACCTTTTTAAAAGTACTTTAACAGCTCTGCTCTCGAATATGCGTCCCCCACCTCTCTTCTGCTTATTTACTTTCAGTTTTTTTGCAAACTCCCCGCTCCTTACCCCCCCCCCCCGTTTATTATTTTCCAGCTTGCCACGACCGACTGCAGCATGTGAAACATTATATCTAGAACTAGAATCTAGATATCTGAATGAAACTTTTTTTTTGGTAAATGGCAAGTTACCCTCAGTATTAGTATTAGTACCGGTACCGGGTTGGCTACTTCTATACCTCTATATCTGTGCATTTTAAAAACTGTTGTACATTGGTTGTTGTTGTTGTTGTTTTGTTTTTTTAATTGAAATTGGTTTGTTCATAAATGGGAAAAGCTGTTACAGTAGGCTAAAATTAACTTACTAAAATAACACAAATTTCAAGATCTCTTCTTTTATTCAATGAAGGAGAAATAAAACCAATTTGTTCCTACTAGTAGTATGGGGTTGAATTTACCTCCGCCCCCCTTTATTATTAATAATTTTGGACCACTTGTCCACCCCCTTTTATCCCCCCTCCCCTCCTTTTTCGGTTTATTCGACTTAGATTAGGCCTTTGAGGCACAGGTCGTCAGCGAAGAGCAGTACGTTTTTTGTTCTGGGGTTTCGTTTGGTTCTTGTGTTATATTTGTTAATCATGTCAATGAAGACCGCGTAATTACTTTGGGGTTCGACTGCAGTTAATAATAGATGGTTATAATAATGCGTCAAACAACAGTGACATGCGGCGACTCAGATAGCAAATTTGAAACATTTCCGAGAAGCGCAATGGGCAAGGTGCGAGGGAATAAGGTTCTTGAGTGGAGCAGATTAGCCTAGGCTAAGCCTGGGAATAATAATAATTAATTATTCGTACATAATATTATTATAATAATGTAGGATAAAACCAAAGAGGTTATTATAGTACTAGAGGTCGTAGCTGTGACGTCACCCACGTAAACTCACTATGGCTGTTTGGGCCCACTCTGCTCGCTTTGTCGCCATTTTTGAGAGGATTAGAAACTGCGTTGCCACGCTGCGCGTCCATTGCAACGCCTCGGTCTTCTTAGACTTTGAAGCTCGGTTCAGTTTTCCTTTTGTTTATTGTTGTTGTTTAATCATATAACCTACAAGTATACACAATACTGCACCTGCTGATCTATTGTGGGAAACATAAATGCACTTAAATGTGGGCTACAAGTGAACAGAGAGGTATGATATGAGGTATTGTTCGTTTTTCCCGGGCGGGGTGGGGGAGGGGCGGAGGGAGACATATTGAGTAATTGGGTTTGTTAAGAAAAAGGACAATTTCATGCTTTAAAAATGGATTGCTTTTATGTCATGTTGTCTACACTCTCCTTCCACTGATGCAAAGCCTAGGTCTTCATGGAATATGAAGGCTAGGGGGTTAAGACTGGGTTAATTATTTAATATATTAATTCATCATTGTCTCAAAATGAGCCATTAATTGTAGGGTGGGATACTGTAAATTACTCATTGTATGGATCCTGTGCGCACACCCAAAGAGCGTTGTTTAATATATGGCACAAATTATGATTATAATACACTGACAACATTTTAAAATGCAACACTTAAGTAATAGCTGTTTTATCTTAAATGTTCACAATATTTTCTAAAATTGGAGTTGATTGACAATATGGTGTTTGGCTTCACAACATCCCATCTTCCATGAACCTCTGCCGCTGCTGTTGCACATGCTGTTTGGCATCAGTTCCGCAAATGAGACAGAATATTACGCCAGTCATATTGGTGGGGAGTTATGCTTGGTTGGCTACGCTATATTATTATTCTCTCATCTCAACAACTTCGATAGTTGTTCTTTTCCGTTCAGCCAGCCGTAAAAGTTTGCTAGAGTAGCAGATGAAGTTTCTAGTAGCTTCTCAGTCACATTCCTGATTCCAAAGGGCCCACGAGTGCCTTGTTGTGGTTAGCAGTGCTAAATCTAGACATACTGTTTGAGCGACGCATAAAGAAAGATTTCAATACAGTTATGCTTTATATTTTAAATAATTTAGTCCATCTCATTCACTCAAAAAAAAAACACAAAAAAAACTCACTCATATGCGTGGTCTCACCGTGTAAAAGGCTCTGTTTGCTTTATTTTGGAGATTATCTGGCTCATTTAAAGGTAAACAATCACAAGAATTCCTTGGAGTACATTTTAGCGATAGGCAAATCACATGAAAAAGACTTCAACATCAAAAGACTTCGCAGAGCATGATTAATTCGTGATTGAAAAGTGTTGCTGAGCACCGATTGGCCTTTTATTCCTCTCCGGAATGACAGCGGACCCCTCAAGTTTGACACGCGTGACGTCACATCTAAGACCTCTAGTTCTATTTATAACCTCTTTGGATAAAACCAGGAAAGTGTCTACGTTCTCTAACGTTAGAGAATGTATACAAGCTGTCTACGTTCTGTAACGAATAAAAAAAAGTAACAATTATTATTAAGCGTAAGCCTGAGGGCCCTATTTGAACTATAATAATATGTCACATCACATACCAAATCGGCATTTTTTTTCCACTATTGGTCTATATCACGTTGTATCGCATCATGTTTTAGGCCTACCTTTGCTTTGAAGTGGTTATACGAAATCGCATGTAAACAGCAAGCTATCTTCTAAATACTAATTACATTTACAGAAGGCCTGATCTTAGTGACTTATTCAAATATATTATTATTATTATTTGGGGAGGGGGGGGGGGGGGGGTGGCACCAGTGTTCATCTTCCTTGTAGTAGAAAGTGTGCAACGTAATTATATTGTGTGTGTGTGATGTCAAAATTTGGTGAAAAGTGAGGGGGGGGGGGGGTGTCATCTAGATTGGATGAAAGAATGCGTTGGTTGGTTTTATAGGGGTTTGCGTATGCGGGACTGTGGACAGCTTTACTTCGGCCAGCTTTTTAATTTCACGAAAGTAAATATCTTGCGAAAATAAAGTGTAAGCACTGTGGAAGCAGGATTGTCGACTCGTTTCCAAGTTAGAGCGAGCGAGCTATTTTAGGTTCTCTTCTACCATCCAAGACGTCTTGGCTACCATTACAGAATGTAGACAGCTTGTATACATTCTCTAACGTGACACTAAAACCAGACTCATAAAACTAAAAGAATTGAGAGTAGCAGCTAGCAGTAATCACAGTTAAAAACTAGCTGTTTGGAGCAAAGCCAAAGAGGTTACAATTGCTTCTAGGCCTAGCAAGCAGTGCTAGCAGTTGGAAATTGAATATTGACAGAGTAGATGGCCTGCTGGCGACGCAGCAATGTGAAATTTTGATCAACAAACATCTGCCGAACATACAGTTAGGCCCACAATCCGGTTACAGTTTAGCGACTGAAGGTTTTTGGATTTCTAATCTTCAATGGTAATTTAATGGAAATGATATTTTACTGTAGATCTACATTTGTATAGCCCAGAAATAGACGGTGGGGGGAGTGTCAGTTGCGTTGGGTTAGCTCTGGGCTCTAGAGTAAGAAAAGAGACTGGTGGTGAGACTTGAGATTCAACTCGATGATATTAGACTATTAGTCTATCTAGATCTAGTCTGATGAAATCACCTACTGGCTCGATTTTTAGCCATTTGCAAGCTTTTTGTATTATATAATATCAATTTTGATGAAAAGTACAGAAAATTAATTAGAACCCCCAGTATTTTTTTAGGAAGTGAGTACAGTGGAACTCGGATTCAAAGAGGTCGCCGGGCCTGACCTAAAATCTCGTTGAATCCAAGTGTTCTTTATAGTAAACTCGAGGTTTTGTGTAGGTAATTACAGGCACTGAGCAAGTTATGTATAAAGAGAAGTCACAAGTAGTGCCTGAAATGCCTGATTATGAGGGGTGTACAAAAAAAGACAGATTCGTTCAAAAGCACTCCTGTGTAATCTTGATTGTTTTTAACAATAAGTTGTGTGCTGTCCTAGCATAACGGCAACGTTTGATTCCATAGACCAGCGCACAATTCATTACGTAGATCTACGTCAAGACTAACTTATTATTGTAATAATGATCTGTTGCCGAGGGGAAAAAAAGACTGTGACGCGTTTGTATCTGCGACATTCAACACCCGGACCGCTATGCGCCTCCCACCCCCTCCCCAACACACACGACACACAGTCACACGTATGCAGGCCGCCCATCCGACCCCGACACACGCTAGAGTAGACTCGTGCGCGAGCCAACAACACATCATGTGGTGGTACGAAAAAAGGCCGCTGATTGGTCGCATGCAATCGGCTAAGTGAATATATAATGATTCAGGATGCAGTTGCAAGGGATGGTTTCCGGGAATAGATTCTATAAAGTTCGTTCTGGGTGAAAAATGAGCGAAGCCACGTCTGCGGGGGCTGTTCACCCTGGAAGCGACCGCGTTGAATCCGAGCTCTCTGATTTAAGTGCACGTTGAATCCGGGTTATTTTCATTGATTTTAAAAGAAGAAAAAAAACGGGGAATCTATCTCATCTTGTTGAATCCGAGTTCTCGTTGAATCCGAGCTCGTTAAATCCGAGTTCCACTGTACACATTCCCACCCATAATTTTTTGGTGCTTTTTCGGTAGTTCCCACTCCCCCTTATTTTAGCCTAGATCTACATCTAGATCTAGATTCTAGATCTAGATCTCTCTATACGTTTGATGCGCGGCGAGCTAAGATATCAAACCTAACACCAAATTGTGGTAAAATCAGGGCCCCCACCTTATTTTTATTAAGGTCAGGGAGCCCCTGAAACCCTCCTACTCCCCTACTCTAGGGGCCAAAACCTGGGAATAAAAATTTTTCCCCTTTGCATAAAAGCACTCTCGTTTGAATGTGCTCAATAGTTCAAGGCCCGTTATTTTCCCTCCCGATTCTAGATGTTTTTTATAGACGAAGTGGCTAGCCGTAGGCCTACTACTTAGATTCTAGATCTAGATCTAGGCTTGGCCCTGTCTACTCAAAGCTGTTAAGTACACAGGTCTCATTAGATCTAGATCTAGTACTTATTGTTCAGGTTCAAATGCAAGTCAGTAAGGCACCTTTTGGTTTTGTCTGAAATACAAATACTTTAGGCATTGCAAACTGAAAATTTCATTTACAATTCAGCCATCAATATTAAGTACAGCTAGCCTGACAGTCTAGCTGTCCTTAAGTACGGCTACCCTGGCTGTCTACCCAAGTATGGCTAGCCAAGAAGTCTAGCCGTACTTAAGTACGGCTAGACTGCCAGTCTAGCCGTACTTATCTTAGGCCCTATTAACATTAGAAAACAGGAGGTTTAAAATACATGCACTGTCTTAAAGGCACCTGGTTTCGTCTCAAATACAAATAATTTAGGTACTGCAAAGTAAAAATTTTTACAATTCAGTTGGCCTACTTTTTTTATAATGGTCAGTCTAGCCATCAAGAATAAGTACCGCTAGCCCAGCTGTCTAGCCGTACTGTACAGCTAGCCAACCAGTCTAGCCGTTCTTAAGTACTGCCAGTCTAGCCGTCATTAAGTACGGCTAGCCTCTTCGTTTTATAGATTTAAAGGCCGACCTCTAGACCTGGGGTGAGAATTAAACCATGTAACTGGCAGATCTAGCCTCTATCTAGTACGCCTCTACAATTTTGTGTTGGGCCTTGAACTATTGAGCACATTCAAACGAGAGTGCTTTTATGCAAAGAGGAAAAATTGACATCGCTTTTAGCTTTTGAATGCTTTCTGCCATATCAAATCAATCTGTTTGAAAGCAAAAAAAAGACCCAAAATATTTAATGAAAGTAATTTAATTAAATCATTCACACAAGAACACACACACACCTTAGTCAAAAATTGAGTAAAATATTTTAAAATCCCATCAGGGGGGTGGGAATTATAAGAGAAAATCTGATTCCCTCTTATATTCCCACCCGGGGTGGGAATAATCGCAGCCAAAAAAGCCATTTTAAAAATTTTCCCTCCCGTCTCACATTTAGCTAATTAGCTAAGTACTACCAGTTACCAGTTGTCAGTGTGTATTTCTATAGATAGAGGTTTGAGACCTTTTGCGGTCTGAAACGGAATAACAGACCTCACTTCTACCCTTGATCAATTTCCCGAGGGGGAAGCCATCTTTGGAGGACTGTTGTGTTCGTTTGGTTTGTACGATGCTCATGGTGCTCAATCGGGTGTGCATTTACAGAATGTGAAAATATCGAACAGTTTTCAGAGCCAAATTCCGTTTTTTCCGTGGGACAGCCCTCGTAACATACACATTTAGAATATTATAATTGAATACAATCTGTTTGAGATGCATGTGTACTATTGTGTACAGATTCTTTCTTTACTGTTTTGTTTGTATTACTTTATATGGTTTTCTCTTGGCAGAAGTGAATGTAATCTCTTGGAAACTATTTTGTTTTCTCCAGGCGTCGACTTTAGACCAGGCAGCTGGTTGGGGATTGGTATCCATAGCAGGATTTGTGTTCACGTATTACTCCATCTGGGTTATAGTCTTGGTGAGTTTTAACTTCATGCTGGTGGACTTACAGATAGGTTGTGAGATTTCGTCTTCAGCTTTTAATAAAATGAAAAACTCATGAAAAGGAAATGGTTTCTAATGAAATTTTGTATTGTGTTTATTTTAAATCAATTAATATTTTTACTGATAAAGCTTTTGTATCTACTAGCATTATATCCTTTCCTTAATTGTTCAATAGAAAAAATATTTTTGTCTTGTTTCTTAATTTTTTAATCTGTTTTTTCTTAGGTTGAGATGTTTTACAAACCAATTTTGACCGGCCACTGTTCATCAATAGGCCCTCACTGAAGGGTAAAATGTTTAATTATGTGTGCTAGTTCCTTTCTATTTCTTCATTGTAGACTTGAATTTAGCCTTGCATTTTGTTGCCCAGTATTTGAGAACATGTGTCAGGGAAATTTTAGTTATCTAATATAATATATTGGTTGGTCTGTTCCCAGTTCTATTTAGACATTGACTATACATTTAGAGCTGTTTCTTTGAAAACTGTTCTTCAATGTCTTTTGAATTTGAAGTCGCTCATTTTTCCCCCTTTTTTTCAGCCATTTGTAGACCCAGATCAGCCTATTCACCAGTACTTCCTTGATCGATTTTATGCTGTTGCTGGACCCTTGGTGGCTGGAGTTATTCTTCTCATGATTATAGGTACAGTTAATTTGTGCTTTCCTCTTCTTGGTATTGCTTGTGTTTAACTACATTACATTTTACTAGACTACTGTCTAGAACACTACCAAGAAAGCTGACCCATTTACTTTAGGAAACAATTTTTTATGATCTTCTGATCTTTGTTGAAGATGCTTTGATAGATATTGGCTGCTTAGTGTAATATTATGTCAAATGTCAGTTTTAAAATTGGCGTACATTGCTTAGTTTTACATCAAGCAGTCTATATAATTATCGTAGTGTTTTGTCTCTGCATTAAAAAATATTTCCTTTTTTTAAAAACTTGGTGAATGATCTGCTCTGGTCCAAGGATCATCTTGGCCTTATTTGGAACCAGGAAAGAACTCAAGGTAAGAGATGGTAGGAAGAAGGTCATAAACATGAATATCATACAAGTGTATGCTCCAACCAATGAAGCAGAAGAGGAGAATAAAGATGACTTCTATAACCGCCTGCAGAGTGTGATCGACAAACTTACAGGTAAGGACACCAACATTGTCATGGGAGATCTAAATGCGAAGGTAGGTTCGGACAATAGTCACTATGAGGAAATCATGGGCAGACATGGATTATCTGCTAAAAAAGAGCGGATGACAAAAATAGGACTTGCAAGAAAAACAGTCCTCCTTGATTGTGATCTGTTAAGACGCCAAGTGCCCTACATAAAACGCTTTTGATAATATTCCACTTTCTGCCCCCACTCCCTCACCTCCTTTGCCCCCTCTTCTAGGCTCCTGACTCTTTCTGCAGCCTTTCTAGTGCTACTCCTTGGCTCCTTCTTATGGCTGTCTTTCAGCCACCCCCCTGATCTTATGGTAGGAAAGATCTACACCTAGTCTTCTTGGACAAGGGCGAAAAATCTCGGAGGTCCCATGTGCAAGTTGTGCATTTTAAAGATCCCTTAATCTATCCAAAATCGATGAGAGTAGGCTTCGGCTGCCACCCGATCAAAGTGAAAAATTTCCTACCAATTGAAAATGTTGGATATGTCCCATGCGGTCATATGACCGTATGCAGTTGCGAGCGCCGTAAAACACTTGCCAATAAAAAAAAAGACTCCACTGTATGTTTGATGCCTCCTGCGCATTGAAATAAGAAAGGTGAATTATAATGTCTCCTGTCTTTGGCTTCTTGTCAGTGTGGGCAAGTCAAGCTGTACGAAGCAGAAGAAACCGGCGACTGTGGTGTAGCGGTAAGGCACTTCACTGTCACATGTAGGATCCGATTTTGATTCCCAAGTAGGGAGGAAATCTTTATATAGAGTATCTCAGTCTTTCTGCTGGGTATTTATCCTTCTCTACCTGGTTGGTCCTGACTGGAAAGGTCGGAAGCCCGCCTCCTAAATGATCCAAAGTGTGTCGCTGGGGGTGTAAAAGCATCTACAGTCAAAGGAAAAGCAGAATAAAGGCTTTTTAGTATGCAAAGGCATTTGCCGACTTTTAGTTTTGTATCAGTCATTTTGTTTTTTTCATTAGTTGGTTGTATTTCCTTTCTCTGCTGGTGAGTGGTTAGTGAGTTCTCTTGTATAGTTTGCTCCTCCTTTCCTATCAAATATGTATGGTCTTTTTCTCCTCTCCTTCTTTTTTGTGTTTGTCACTTTCTTGTAACACCTCTAATCTTCTATACTTATATGACCTTATTGTGTTCCAAGTGCAGTAAAACACTTACCAAAACAGAAAAAATTGATTTGCTCTTCGCTTATTATTTGTTGTTCTAAAGTGAAAAGACTTTTTTGGAGGCAATACGTACTCAAGAATTTCTCAAGTTACTATAGTCATCATCTTCATCATCATTGCCTTTTTCACCCTGGATCAGGATATGGGCAACGAACAAACACTTTTCACCTTTCCCTATCCTGGGCTTGTCGCTTGATGTCACTCCACGTCTTCCCACTTTTCTGTACATCCTTTTCCGTGACTCTTCTCCCGGTTCCACGTGGTCTTCCCCTTGACCTTTTACCCTGTGGGTTCCAATCTAACACTTTCCTAGTTATGCAGCTGCTTGACTTCCTGAAAGTGTGTCCAATCCATCGCCAACATCTTCTTCCCTCCTCATCTCTGACTGGGCTCTGTCTCGTTCTTCTTAATACTTCCTTGTTGGTGGTCCTGTCTGTCCATTTGGTCCTCATCAGTAGCTTCCTCAGACACTTGTTTAAGAAAACCTGGATCCTCTTTATGCACGTCTGAAGTTACTATAGTGCTGCTTTTAATTTGAATTAAATAAAACTTGTGGAAGTTACTTTATTAATAAAAAATGGCACAGCTGTTACTGTGGCTGTTGAAATTTCTGCTGTCCCTGATACAGTGGAACTGGGATTCAACAAGGTCACCGGGCCTGATCTAAAATCTCATTGAATCTGACTGTTCATTATAGCAAACACGGGGTTTTGTGTAGATAATTACAGTCACCGAGCTAGTTATTTATAAAGAGAAGTCACAAGTAGAGCCTGAAATGCCTGCATATTATGAGCTGTGTAAAAAAAAGACCATTTCGTTCAAATGCACACGCCTTAGTCGTCTCGATTGTTTACCAAAAAGTTGTGTTGCTGTGAAGAGCCTAGCATTCGTTACGTAGATCTACATCAAGACTAGATTATCATTGTAATAATGATCAGTTGCCGAGGGGAAAATAAAGACTGTGAAGTGTTTGTATCTGCAACGTTCAACGCCTGGACCGCTAGTGCCCTCCCCCCCCCCCCCCGACACGCACACACAGCCGCACATGTACAACCGCCCATCCGACCCCGACACACACCAGAGTAGACACGTGCGCGTGCCACCAAAGCATGTGTTGGTTTGGGAAAAAAAAGGAGGCTGATTGGTCACATGCAAATCGGCTAAGTGAATAATGGTTCTCGATGCAGGTGCAATGGATGGTTTCCGGGAATAGATAAAGTTCGTTATTGGAGAAAAATGAAAGAAGCTGTTTACCCTGGAAGGGACCTCGTTGAATCCGAGCTCGCTGATTTAAGTGCTCGTTGAATCCCGGTTATTTTTATTGATTTTAAAGAAGAAAACAAAAGGGGAATCTATGTCAGCTTGTTGAATTCGAGTTCTCATTGAATCCGAGCTCGTTGAATCAGAGTTCCACTGTATTATAATAGCTGTTGAAAGCACTTTGTTGTGGAACTAACCGCAAACTTAAACTTGTGCAACAACACCTTCACTTTTACAATCGAAGCCATCAATAACTTGTCCTCTGAACAAGAATGATTTTACAGAGGGCTTGCATAGTATTCAGAAGACATACATTGTACTGATCAGAGGATTTGATGATAATAACTTTGTCACAAAAAACTGGTAGCCTTTCTTTGCAGTCAAATAAGGTCATATTAAGGTATGTGTACTGGTTTGAAGATTCTCTAATGTCTTTCAATAATTTCAACGTGCACACACTTTCTCTCTAATTCCACTGTACTGTGTGTAGTTTAAATTTTTTATGTGTGTGTAAATGCAAGCAGATTTTCTATGTCATTGTGATTGCCTTGTGCATCTCAAGATATGGAAGTCTTTAAATCTATGTCATGTCTGTTTTTTGTGGGCATCCTTTTTTTTAACCTTTTAATTTTTGTGCACGTCTTTTTTTGCTTTATTTGCCCTTTCTTGTATTAGAATGTTTCTTTTTAAATTAAAACTTCAGCTATTTGTAAAGTCCTGTATCTTTCTTTTTTTCTCTCTTTGCTTTCAGGAGCATTGATTGTCCATGACACGATGAAGTCCAGGAAAAAAGTGAAGACAAGCTGATTCCAGAATTTTTGTGATCTACAAGCCATTTTCCAACATGTGCCTCTGTGTTACACTTGTGATTTTCACTCATTCGTTCATCTTACATCATCTGTCATTGTGTGTAATAAAAACTCCATTCCTGTGAAAACTGCTCTTGCTTTACTTTATGGAACCTTCAGAGAGATTTTGGTTTTGGGAATAAGTTTTCAGCAAGAACTTTGCCAACCAATACGAGAATATTTTTATACTATCAGAAGACCTCCTCTGTGGAAAAAGGGAAGGAGAATGTAATTTAAAAGAAAAAGGGTCAACGTTAACAACTCAGATACAAGGATACCTGCAAAAAAGGCACAGCTTTATACGGATATCAGCTCCTGATCATGGGAACGGAAAGCAATTGATCTAACCAAACAGTAGTCATGTTTTTCTCCGCGACTTAAATTGATAATGTTGGAGTGCCTATACAGAAACAGTCCTCACAAGTGAGTCTTCACATACAATTAAATACAAAAACTTGTTTTATTTTGATGAGTGAAAAATTAAACAAAATATATATAGAAGTATCGTTTTTCTTCTAAGTGGACAAAAATGTTGCCAGGCATGCATGACCCTTTTTTATGAGGTTTTATTGCAGGGTGTTAACACAACAATATATTCAGTTTGGTGTCTACTTTGTTTTTCAGTTTTTTTAACCATCGTATCCATATGACGTAGGGAACTCTGTGCCACCACTTTCCAAAGAGGAAATTTACTCTTTACTCCGATCCATACGCTTTGCAGAGCAGTCTTTCAAAATGATTTTTTGAGAAATACTGATAATACTGAAAGTTTCAAAGAGATCTTCGCACTAGAAGTATTCTAAAATGCAAAGAATACTACCCCTGGGGTACAAAATGACCCCTGGCGGACAGATAGGCTTAAATATGAACTATTCCAAGTTTTACCAAGAAAAGTTTTGAAGAATTAAGATTTAAATTTAACAAACGAATCCAAGAACCTCTTTTCAGGACAGAAATACAGGGGAACGAATAATGAATGTTATGTCGAAAAGTACCTGTCCAGTAAATTGTTCTATTTATCACCCTTGACATTATCTGTCACTTGCACTTTGTTGCATAACGAATGTTAACAATTTGAAGTTGAATAAAATAATATGAAACGCTTATTTTAGTATTAATATGTATGGTGCAGCTTCAGTAGAGGTAGCTTCTTATAATGAAATGGGTTTAGTGAAGAGCTGAATGAAAACTCATCAAACAACTCCAAAATCGTTGTGGGCTTAACTAACTCATCGTTCGATGTTGTGGACTCCACCACCCAGCATTGCACTTTATACACAAGAACGTTTTTTAAAGCAAACAAATAAAAAGAACAAGCGATCATCTAAAAAAAAAGAAAGAAACGGTAGCAAAGGTATACATTACCCAGATTGAACTTTAAATTTAAAGCAAACAAAAATGAATGGAACATTTTTTTTTTTTAATGTCCACAAAGATATTCGATGTAATTGTAGGCTTAATTTAATAATACTGTGTTTAAAAAAAAGGAAATAATGATGATAAAAATATAAGAAAACAAAACTCTTTCACTCAGCAACTTTAATTAAACAAAGACCTCTGTATCCTTAAATCCTTAGAAGTAAAGCCAAACCATGTTACTTTGATGACTGCTTTTATTTTCTAAATATGTTTTGTGTTAACTCCAGGTGGACAAGGATGTTGCCTTTATAGTTCCATTCTGTCCTCTCCACACCTCCGTTGATTCTCACAAAGTGTTCTGAAAAAACAAACAGACGATGTGGACAATAAATATATGAGGCAGCGTGGTGGAATCAGGCTCTCGTCAAAATAATCAAAGTGAAGAAACTTGCATTTTTCCAACAGGTTTGTGAATTTTTATCAAATTTTTGTTTTTTGGCACACCTTTCATGTCCAGTAAAGAACTAATTTCTGTGTGGACTTTTCTGAAAAGTGTTGATTAAAGGCGTAAAAAATGTAAATCTTTAGCTACCACGGACTCTTAAGCTAAGGA